GGGTCAGAGGAGTGCCTTCTAGCAGAGCCGTGGGACCCTGGGACTCTGGATTCTTGTTGGGAGGAATGCAGTTTAGTGAGCACTTTGAACACTGCATGCTCTGAGAGACGTTGCTTTTTGAATTTTGAGAATTAAAAAAAAATACACAATTTAGGATACATACACGATCAATAGGATTCATTGCTTGACCACATACAGATGTCAAGGTGACTTTCAGGTTAGCAATAAACAAACAGAAAGCAACAAAGACTAATATCGAAAAACCACATTCCATCACCCAGAATTGACCGTTGTTAATATTTGTCCTCTTGGCTTTGCCTTTTTCAGTAAAAGGAATACAACATTACTGGAAAAGTTATAATTACCTTGACATTCACCTCTACTTCACCACTCGCCTCCAGGTAGCCTTTATTATAAATTTGGTGTGGATCTTTCCACTAGATTTTAAATACTTTTACACACACGCATACGGAACCATAAACAATATGTAGCATTGCTTCGTGTGTGTTTTCAAAATGTGCTTATGACTTGACTTTTCCGCCCTGCATTATTGCCTCCCGTGGTTGAGATCTGCCTCTGTTGATTTGTACAGATCCAGCTCATTTCTTCTCACTGCTGCAGAGTACTCTGTGTTTGCCCTCTTGTTCTGTCTGGGTGGCGGCCCTGGATGGGGGACAGGTTCACCCCGTCTTATAGATGGGGACCTGGAGCCCACGGTTTCTCAGCTACGAGGTGGGCTTTGTAACCACCCCACCCACCCCCACTTTGGTGGGGCTCCAAAGGCAGGGCGTCCCTCACGACACCTGAGGCCTGGCTGGTCCCTGGCCAAGCAGCTGACTAATCCAATGTGACGAATCCAGGTTCCCCAGTCACCCCAGCCTGGCCATGTTTGCCTGACTTAGGTCACCGCCAACCTCACTTCCCCCCGAGGGCGTCGTGGCCTAGAACGCTATCTGAAAAGGAAGCGTGAGGATGGGGCTTTTGTTGGAGAGCGCTGTACCCACTTCCAGGACTGCCTTCAGCTCCTGGAGGAGGAGCCGGAGCCCCCGAGGAGGATCGCAAAGGCAGCCTTGGGCGCCAGTGCTGCTCTGTTGAGCACCCCCAGTCCTCTCCTGAGCTGAGTCACCGTCAGGCAACCCTGAACTTTCGCTCATGCACGGCTTCCTCACCCGGGGAGCGGGGATGTAAGGCTGACCTCATCCCTCGGCTCTCTCCCAGCATCTCTTGAACCAAGAGCAACCCCCTCGAGCACTGGCAGAAACTCGCAGCTACTGGTTCCTGAGTCATAAGTGTCTTCGCCAGGTGTGTGTGTACGTGTGACGGGCTGTGCGCGTCCACCGTGGGGTAGATTTATTTTTCTGGCCCTTTGACTGTGGCTCCCTCTGGCCCCACCTCTGGAGAACACTGAGCCGTGCATCACAGGGTTATCTCAGCATCCATGTGGAGACCAGGCCCCGTCCGGGCCACCACCCCTTGCTTATAAGGGAGGGCAGTTGTGAGGTCAGACAGAACTCGATTCTTTCAGTCGCTCAGCAGTATTTATGGAGCCTCCTGCGCGGTGGCTCTGGGGAGAGCGTGGCAAACGATACAGGGACGGTGTCTGTGGTGCTGGGGCCTGCAGCTAGTGGGGAGACAGTAAACAAGTAGCAGGCAGATACTCACAGAGTTCAATGTCAGAGGCCCTGGCAGTCTGGCCTGCCAGTCCTGGCCAGTGACCTTGGGTAGGTTAACTAAGTCATCTGTGAAGCGAAGTCACAGTACGACTAACCTTAGGGTCATCGGGATGTCTCGGCGAGATGACATGCTCATCGTGCGCGGTGGCTGCCGTTGTGACCACGGCCCTCGTTTATAGAGGACGACATTGAGGCCTGACATGGCCTGCCCACAGTGGCACAGCAGCTTGCAAGCCCAGGTCTGTGTGGCAGCCCAGCCCGGCGCAGAACCGCCAGGAGACTCTGCCCCTGGCCGCAAGGAAGGTTCTGCCTCTTCTTACCAGTGACGAAACTTCCCTGTTCTGCAGGGGGTGTTTTTTTCTTTTTGTGAGGAAGATTGGCCCTGAGCTAACATCTGCCAATCCTGCTCTTTTTGCTGAGGAAGACTGGCCCTGGGCTAACATCCATGCCCATCTTCCTCCACTTTATATGGGACGCCGCCACAGCATGGCTTGCCAAGCCGTGCGTCGGTGCGCGCCCAGGATCCGAACGGGTGAACCCCGGGTTGCCGCAGCGGAGCGCGCGCACTTAACTGCTTGCGCCCACCGGGCCGGCCCCAGGGGGTGGTTTTTTTTTGTTGTTTGTTTTTATCATGGTCAAATATACATAACATAGTGTTTACCATTTTAGCCATTTTTAAGTGTACAATTCAGTGGCATTAAGTACGTTCACATTGTTGTGTAACCATCACCATCCTCCATCCCCAGAAGTCTTTCATCTTCCCAAACTGAAACTCTGTCCCCATTAAACACTTTCACCTTCTCCCTCCCCCCAGGTGCCTGGTAACCACCATTCTATTTCCTGTCTCTGAGAATGTGACTGCTCCTGGTCTGTCATATGAGTGGAATCCTACAGTATTTGTATTTTTGTGACTGGCTTATTTCGCTTAGCATAATGTCCTCAAGGTTCTCCATACTGTAGCATGTGTCAGAATTTCCTTCCTTTCTGAGGCTGAATAATATTCCTGTGTGTGTGTGTGTGTGTGTGTGTGTGTGTGCGTGCGTGTGTATATACCACATTCTGTTCATCCATTCACCATCGATGCCTGTCCAGGTTGTCTGCACCTTTTGGGTAATGTGACCCAAAGCTGCTGTGTACGTTGATGTATAAGGGTCTTTGTGAGTCTCTGCTTTCAGCCTTCAGTTTGGGTATATACCTAGGTGCAGGGAGCATTTTATCATCAGGAAGAAAACGAAGGGAACAGAAGGAAAGACCCTAACTTCCAGCAGTTCTCATCCTCGGGTCCATGGATAGAAGTCAGGGGGTCTATGAACTTGGATGTGAAAAAAAAATGACATCTCTATGGTCATTCACCTGTAACTGCAGTGTAGCATTTCCCTCGATGATGACTAGGCGGCGCCACAGTGGTATTGGCAGTACCTGGGGCTCGGTCACCAGTAGAAATCACGGATGCTTTCAGATCGCCTTCCCGTCACCGTGGGTATCCTGGAATATCATTACCTTCGTCACTACTCCAAGGTTATATAGTTTTCAGACCTTCGACCAGATCTTGTTGTTTAATGCAGTGAAGAAATTATCCTTTGCTCTATCACAAATTTTAAGAAATAGTTTGATAACTGTATTTCAGTATGATCAGTTTGCTTTGCAATCCTATGAATTTATTTTATACATTTAAAAAGATTACTCTAAGAGAAGGGGTCCAGATTCTTCACCAGACAGCCTAGGGCTCCAAGAAGCAAAAAAGATTAAGAAGCCCATGTCATCTTTCTCCACTCCCCGAGTGCCCACAGGCTCCCTCGTCTCCTCAAGGTACCCCTGGAGGCCCCACAGGGCAGGAACCAGCCACCAGAGCAGGTTTGTGTTATTGCTTCCAGGCAGCTCCCGGAGGAGAATCTGTTTCTTCAGAGGGGTAGTTGGGTGTCCTGGGTCTTCAGTGGTTTTCAGCCTCTCCTCACCCTCCAAAACTAAGAGAAATTTCACTTCATAATTACGGGAATCTTCTCTGTTCCTGGGATGGCTGTGGGTGTGCTTTGGGTCCGTCTGGGCTCCCAGGAGCGAGCACACAGGGGTGCGAGCTTTGCAATTTTGGGGCTGGTTTCTCTGGAGGAAGCAGCACGTAGGGTGACGGTGCAGTTCAGACAACACGCAGCCGGGCGAGTCTGAACCCGAAGAGGAATGTGTTTCCTTGGTTTTTGCCCACTTCAGAACATCTCCGCTCTCCAGCTTGTCTGCCCAGGACAGGGAGGGTGGTGCTGGAGAACAAGATGAGCGGGGAGAGGTAGGGTTGCAAGCCACCCTGGCTTGGCCAAGAGCCGCAGTGGGGAGGCCAGGCTGAGTTGTTTGAGAAACTTTGGCTTCATGGCCTGCATGTCAAAAGTACCGTTTATCGTCATCATCAATAATAATAATAAGGCCTGATGGATGGCTAAAGGAATGGATAGACAGCTAAAAAGCAAGAATAGTAAATTGTGCCCTATGGAATCTACGCGATGAGTGTGTGGGTACCCACTGTAAGATCCTTTCAACTTTTTCTTCTTTCTTTTTATTGACGTGTTACTTATTTGCAAAGGTATGCAGCCTAAATGAACAGATTCATGAATTATCACATCTCATGTGCCTACAACCTGGACCATCAATTAGAACATTGCTTGAACCCCAGAAGCCACCCTCAGGCCCGTTTCAATAACCACCCTCTCGTTCCTCCCCAAAGTTAACTTTCCTGACCGCTATATGTCTATTGTTTAGTTTTTCTTAGGTTTCAGCTTTCTAGAAAGCAAATCACACAGTGTGTTTTCTTTCATCATGTCTGGTTTCTTTGGCTCAGAATTACGTTTGTGAGATTTGTCCGTATTTTGTATATAGCTGAAAGTTACTCATTTTTGTTGCTGGATAATATTTTATCTTAAGAATATACCATTCTGCTGATGGTGGGTACTCGGATTGTGTCTGTTCTTTGGTTTCTATGGATAATATTGTGTATGCCTCTTGGGGAATGTGTATGAAATTCTGTTGGCTTATGGTCAGGAGTGAGTTGGTAGTCACAGGGTGCGCGTAGATTCCACTTTTGTAGAGAATGCTACACAGTTCTCCAAAGTGGTTGTACCAGCTTACACTCCCAGGAGTAGTACATGAGACTTCCGATTGCTTCACGTCCATGCCAACATTTGTTTTTGTCAGTCTTTTTTTTTTATTGCGATAATATTGGTTTATAACATTGTATAAATTTCAGGTGTACATCATTATACTTCTATTTCTGCATAGATTACATCATGTTCCCCACCCAAATACTAATTACAGTCCATCACCACACACATGTGCCTAATCATCCCTTTCACCTTCCTCCCTCCCCGCTTCCCCTCTGGTAACCAGCAATCCAATCTCTGTCTCTATGTTTGTTTGTTGTTGTTTTTATCTTCTACTTATGAGTGAGATCAGACGGTATTTGACCTTCTCCCTCTGATTTCTTTTGCTTAAGCATAATACCCTCAGTGTCCATCTATGTTGTCACAAATGGCTGGATTTCATCATTTCTTATGGCTGAGTAGTATTCCGTCGTGTATATATACCACAGCTTCAGTCTTTTTAATTTTAGCCATTTTGGTAGGTGTGTAGCAGTATTCAACTTTTCTTTATGTTTGAAAATTCTCGTAATAAAATTTTGGAAAAGTATTCATACTCATGTTACAATTCATAGAAAAATGGCATTTTAAGGAAAATGGTTGAAACTAGCACTTGCCTGGCCTTGGAGTGAAGACACATCTCTTCACTCTGGACTGGTCAAGGCCGACCCTATGTCCCATGACCCTGTGGCTCCCCTGTCCACCAGAAGCCCCATGCTGACAAGTCCTGGATAAAATTTAAAAAGCAGGATGTAGACGGAGACTGGAGTCCTGATTGAGGTTGAAGTACCTTGAAGCTCTGCTCATGCATCGAGTTATCCTGATCCGGAAGTGGGGCTCAGAGCTGGTTTCTAGCTGGGAGGAAGTCCTGACACCTCCTGCTGGTTCCCAGAGAGATGTGCTTTTGAGCCAGCAGGGGAAATTAAAATAGTTCGTTGATTTTTTGCTAATTCTAGTTGACTGTGTACCTGTGCCTGGAATCCTCCTGGTCACGGCTACCTGCTCACTAGGGCCTCCCTCTCTGACTGAGCACAAATGATGCCCATGTCTTGAGCTTCTTCCTTATGTTGGCCACTGCTTAGCTGAGTTCTCCTAACATAGATGGTAGCTCTAATTCACACCCTCGTCCTCCCTCTGTCCCTCCGTCCTTCATTTTATTCAACAAATATTTATTGAGCATGTACTTTTATGCCAGGCACTCACCCAGTCTCCCTCCCTCTCTCCTTTCCTTCTGTCTATCTGCCCATCCATCTATCCATCCATCCATCCATGCATCCATCCCTGCATCCATGCATGGATCCACACATCCGCCCACCAGTTACCAAGTACCGTTGTAAGTCAGGCCTTGGGCTAGACACAGATGAATGAACTGTGGTCCTGGCCTTTGAGGTCCTCCCAATACCCCCTGTTGGAGGAGACAAATGAGTAAATAGATATTCACAATCCAGTGTGACACGTATGGTGGGCAAGTAAGGGGGAAAAAGAGAGGTATCTAGGCCAGGTCAGGAGGGTCAGGGAAAGCTTCCTGGAGGTCATGATGTTGAAGCTACATCTTAAGGATGTCTTGGGATGGGCCCAGTGAGGGAGGATAATGGGGGAGAGTGGGTTCAGTTTCCTTGATGAAGGGAGACACAGAGTGAGCAGTGCCTGGGACACTCAGTGTGGGCGGGTGGAGTGTGAGGGGTCAGGTGGAGATGCGGCTCTGGAGAGGTCAGCAGGGCAGATTACGGGGAGCCTGTGGGCCTTCCAAGGAGTGTGGGCTGTGAGGCTGTGGGACACTGGGACGGCTTTTATACCACGTGTGGTAGACAGACTAACGGCCCCCCAAAAATGTCCATGTCCTAATCCCCAGAACCTGTAAATATGTTCCCTGACATGGCAGAAGGGACTCTGCAGATGTGATTGAGATGGGGAGCTGCTCCTGGCTTGTCCCCGTGGGCCCAGTGTCATCACAGGGGTCTTTATAAGAGGAAGGGGGAGGCAGAAGAGACAGAGTCAGAGAAGGAGATGTGAGGACAGAAGCAGAGATGCGAGCGATGCTGTTGCCAGCTTTGAAGATGGAGGAAGGGGCCACCAGCCAAGGAATGCAGGCGGCCTCTAGAAGGTGGCAAGGAAACAGATTTTCCCCTGGAGCCTCCAGTAGGAATGCAGCTCTGCCAACACCTTGATTTTGGCCCCCAACATCCATTTTGGACTTCTGACCTCCAGAACTGTAAGAGAATAAACTTGTGTTGTTTTAAGCCACTAAGCTGTCATTTGTTAGAGTAGCCATAGGAAACTGGTATACTGGTTAAGTGTGGGGTCGTCTGAAAACCTTTGTACAAGGGTCTGGGTTAAGGGTGGGGGTGAGAATTGTTGGCCAGGGACTGTAAGACCTTCACCGTTACCTGAAAACCTTCTTAGAGAGTTCTTCCAATCAGGCAACTATAAATGGTGTTCTTCATAGATAACTGTTGTTACAATTAAGGCTGGGGGAAAAATTAACCTCATTTAGGATCAAGGAGACTCACCGATCCTGATCCCTTCTTTCCTGGGTCCCGTGTTTTGTGACGTTTGGACCTTCTTACCAGGGGATTCTGAGAATACATCATCCCAGGCAAATACCATGTGAACAGGGCCCCACTTTGGGGGGAAAAATTCCCAGCGAAAGTGGTGGATCCCTCAGGACCCCGACGGGTTTCCCGTTCCTCATGTCTCCCATCTGCTGAGCGGGAAGGTGGGGTGTTTAGTGAGTATCACTGTAACCTGTACTTTTCTGAAGTCAAACAGATTTCTCTGGGTGGGAGTATTCATCTTCCGTGGGATCGGTGCAGCCCGTCTGACTCAGCGAGCCGCCCAGCACTCTCTGCAGCTGACACTCCTGACAATTCACTTGAATCTCCTGCCTCCTGCTCACAAAAGCCTGCTTCGTCGTTCAGCTCCCCTCCCTCCCTGCAAAGCAGAGCAGAGCCTGTCCCGCCCCCCTCCCACGCCGCTCCCTGAGCTGGGGGCCCGTGTGACTGCTACCTCCAAGACTTCTGTGTCACTGGGAGAGGGAAATATCACTGAGGGATGGAACCGTGAGCCTCCTCCAGATACCATCCCTGGGGCATCACCAAGTGGCACTGCGTGCAGGTGTTTACATACGTTATCTTATTTGATCGTTACAACCCCTGCATTAAAAAGATTTTTTCCCCTAATGTCCCATGGTTAATAATTGGAAAAGCTAAGCCTGGCACCCAGCACTTTCACCCACTCACCACCTGCTTCCCATGTACTGCTGAACTTGGGACATTAGCCATAGGCTACTGTTAGCTTGTTCTAACACCGCCTGGGGTGGTCACTGTTGTGGGTTGAATTGTGTCCCCCAAAAAGAAACGTTCAAGTCCTAACCTCCGGTACTGCCAATGTGACCTATTTGGAAATAGGGTCTTGGCAGATGTAATGAGGCCCAGATCTGCTGTCTGACCTTTGCTTGGAAAACTAAGTTCACTGGGTTCGAGAATCATTCCCTTTCCTTCCAAGTTAACCGATTCCAAGAGGTCAAAGCTTGTGTAGTGGCTTTTCCCAGACTGGCTGATTCAAACCATGCCAGGGCCAGGAAAAAAAAGATTCTTGACTAAGAAACATTCATTTCTGTTGCAAATTACTAGTTGGGACTAGTTGTTGATTATCTCACCTCTGTTGCCATTTGTATTTAGAAATGGCTCATAAATTTGCTTACGTGGGTCTGGCTTGTCCTCTGGAATGAAACGATTGCACTGTAAATCGTTCTCAAACCACACTGTGATTCGATAGCTTCCGTTTCTCGGAGCTCTGACTGCCTGTGGGGCGCGGAGCTGGGCGCTTTACTCATATTGTCTGTGGTTTTCACAGGAATCTGGTGAGCTCCGTTTTACAGATGAGGAAACTGAGGCCCAGGACAGCTAAGGAAGTTAGGTGCCCAAGGCCACATAGCTCAGTGTCTGGGCTGGCTTTCAAACCGCAGTCTCCAGACTGAAGATTCTGTTCTGCCCTGCTTGTCTTCAGGCTGACATAATTAGATGGCGGAGAAAAACAAATACAGAGTGTTCACATTTGGATGTGTGTTTGGTGGAAGTATGAGTGTACCTGTGTGTGAGTATGCCTGCGTGTGTGTGCCTGCGTGTGTGTGTGTGCATAGTTATACAGGAGGCCTGTGCATACAGACAACTGTCTTCAAGAACGTTGAGCATCACTAATTTTGAATAATTTCCTAAACGACCTCTCCCGCCAGGCCAGTAAATTGAGCCCAACAGATAAATCACTGGGCTTATTTGCAGTCTCTTCAAGTACCTTTTAAATCCCACAAATAGCTCTGTGCTTCCCCAGGGACTGGGCTGGCTGTCCTCAACTCCGGCGTGTAGGCCGCAGGAGGTTCCCTCGGCTTGTCCAGTGGCTGAGTCAAGAGAAGCTTCCCCGGGGCCAGAGGAAGCGGGAGGAAGCTAGGGGACCCAGTGCCATGCAGTGGGTCAGCGGGACCCAGGCCTTTTCTCCACCAGCCCCCAAAGGAGGGCGACTCCCCGGGATGTAGGTCTCTGCCCTTGTCCCACGTGACCAATGCCTGGCTGGTCTCTCAGTGATTAACTGTGTGACCTCAGGCAGCCACGTCACCCCCGGGCCATCTGCAAAGGCACTGTGGCCTAATGGGAGCTCACCTCTTTGCTTACACACAATGTGACCTGGGCCTCCTCCTCCAATGCGCCCGACACTGCACCTGGGGGCCTTTGCCCTGACCCGTCCCTCTGCCCGGGACGTCTTTGCCTGAATATCTACACGGCTGCTCCCTCACTTCTTCTTTTTTTTTAAACAAACTTTTTTTTTTTGCAGGGGAAGATTCGCCCTCAGCTAACATCTGTTGCTAATCTTCCTCCTTTTTTCCTCCCTCTTCCTTCCCAAAGCCCCAGTACATAGCTGTATATTCTAGTTGTAAGTTCTTCTATGTGAGCCGCTGCCGCCACCGCATGGCTACCGACAGACAGGTGGTGTGGTTCCGCACCCGGGAACCAAACTCAGGCTGCCGAGGTGGAGCGCGCCAAACTTTAACTGCTAGGCCACCAGGGCTGGCTCTCCCTCACTTCTTTTTGATCTTTACTTAAAAGTCATCTAATTGGGTTTCCTTGGCTATCCCATCTAAAATGTTGACACCACCCCCAATATTTTATTTTATTTCTGATTTCCTGCCTTATTTTTTCTCCTTAGCACTTATCATAATCCAACAGAGTGTGTATTTCTTATTTGTTTCGTTTATTATCTCCTCCTGCCAGAAAGGCAGGGATTTTTGTTTGTTTTCTTGTCTCCCCACTCCTGTATCCCCAGCATTTAGAACAGGACCTGGTGCATGCAGATGCTTGAAAAATATGTTTTGAGTGAGTGAATGAATGAATGAATCAGTATAGCTTCACAGAGTCCCCCTCTGCTCCGTGGAGTGACATCTGCCTACTAAGTATGTGGTCGTACTCACTACATGATAGCTTCTGTTATTATTTATATTATCATTATGTGCTTTATCTTTAAAATCAAGGGGCTGCATCCGAAGGTTCCCCAGACCCGGAGCAGAGGCTAGTCCATGCAGGGCAGCAGGGTAGCGCTGGGCTGAAGGAGGCGACAGGTAGACCTCTCCTGTTCCCCCCACTGCCCAATGACCTTGAGCATCCTCTGGGCAGCCCAGAGGCCCCCGATGGGGAAGGAAGATCAAAGAGACACCTTTGACTGCTGTCTGATTTCGGGCAGGACAGGCGAGGGGCCCCGTGGGAGCCCTGCTCACAGCTCTCCTGCCACCCCTGTGTGATCCGTGTGTCCCCCAGGCTGGGGCTGGGATGCTTGTCTCAGTGGGGTTCCTGCACCCGGGCGCATCCCGGGCAGCCTATGGTCAGGCTGTGTCTTGTGGCCAGAACTTTCAGGAATGCACCCTTTCGACCACACAAGCAAGGCCACACATGCCCGATTGTAGTGAACTCTGAACTCTAAAGGAACGTGACCCTCACATGGCACCCTCAGTGAGAATTTATCACCTTCAATCTCATTCGCTCCCCTTGATCTGTGGGTTCGTTAACTATTTGCATTTCTTCTGCAAGTTGTTTAGGTTCTTTGTGTATTTTATTTTTATTTGGGGTATGTGCCTTTTAAAAAAATTAGTTTATAAGGGTTCCTTTTTTCATATAGAAAGACTCTTAATCCTCTTTCAAATCATGTATGTAGCAATTGTTACCCCTCCCCACTGTTTTTCTCCAGCATCTTAATTTTGTGTGGGGTATTTATTGATATATAGAAGTTTTACATTTTTCTGTGGTCAGATCTGAGTGGCTTAATTAGTGGCTTCTTACTTAAATGTCTTAGTGCTTTAAAAACTTCTTCCACATTTGAAGATCGAGCAAACATTTCCGCAGTTTTTTTAACACATAACTGTAAAATTAATCTAGAATTAATTTTTGGTATAAGGTATGAGACAGGGTACAATGCTGTTCTTTCCCTCCAAATAGTTAACTAATTGTCTAGTATTATTCACTGAATAATGCTTTCTTTCTCCACTGCTCTAAAATATCGCTATTATCATATACTAAAAATTTTCAAATATGTGCTGAAGTCTCTTTTAGGCTTTCTGTTATACTGATTGACTATTCTTGCTCCATCATCATGCTGTTTTAGTTATTCTACACTCATAGTATTTCAAAGTTGAACGCCTTCGTTTTAAAATGAAGGCGCTGAGGCACAGAGAGGTCAAGTAACTTGCCCAAGGTCACACGGCTAGATGGTGTCTCCAAATCTCATATGCATATAATTTCCAGTGTATTTCACCTTGTAGGTCGTGTCTCATGATGCCTCCCTTGTGCTTCTTATATTATTATCACTTTTGCTCGTGGTGTGTCACTGGGATTTTTTTTAACAGCCATAGTAAGTTCTCTCTCGCTCTAAGCGGAGCTAGTCCTAAGTATCTGCCACATGAAGTTATTAGCAAGAATGAGATCAGACAGGAGTTGTGTAGTACCATACCTGGCACATAAAAGCCTTTAGTCTATTAGTAATAATAATACAATTATTAATATTTCCATCGAGGTTATTGACTTTCTGTAAGGTACATCCTCACTTCATACCTTTCACCTTTGAGCAGAATTCATAGTAAATACAGTGTTGTCATATGTCCTTGAATTTCAGGATATTCCCCATGACAAATATTCAACTCTGTTGCCCACCTCCTCCTCCACCCGGTAAATGATTGAATCGGCCCTGAACTCTGAAAAAGCCGACAAGTTGTGACAGTGATAGAAAGTTGTGCACTTGAACCTTCCCATGACCTCAGGGACTCTGGGTCAGCTCACATGTCCTGGGCTTTGGGAGAAAATTGTCCACTCTAACTTCAAGGTAAGAGCATCTTGGATCTCCCCTCAGAGAGTCGTGTCACCCAGGGGCCCTGAGAAGCTCACTGATGAGGGACCTCGTGTCTGCAGTGTCCCGTGCTGTGCACTTCTGGGTCAGTGTGATCCTCGTCTGCAGCATAAGCTCGTAAGCAGGGACCCAAAGGGCCCCCGCCAGGGTCTGCAAAGCGGTCATAATCAGCCAATGTAAAGATGAATTTCCTGGTAAAAACTTTGACATCAGATTAGCGTACTTCCTTTAAAATTAGATGAGGAGAAACCTGGTTGCTGTGAAAGCTAGCACTTGACTTGGAAGTAGGTGGTCTTGATTTGGAAAAGTCAAGAGAGGGCTTTCAGCTGGAGGGAGAGGTGTGCATCCGAGAGCATGGTCAATCACAGTGTGATTGTTGAGCTTCTCTGCAGCTCTGCTTAGAACCGAGATGGGGGGAACGAGGCAAATCTCAGCCCCTCCTCTTCCAGGCTCCTGTGTTTGCATTGGGAGATTAAGATGAACACCGGACAAGAACCAGAGAAAAAGAGGAGAGGGAGCAAGTGTAATGGCAGGTGTGTTTCATTGGGGTGGGACTGCCTGGAGCACTGTGTTGAGAAGGATTCTGAGGCTGGATTTGAGCTCAGCAGCAAAGAGAGCTGAAGTTTGTTTTCATGAGGAGGAGAGGGGCAGTGGTGTCTCTAAGACATGCAGGAATCTACAGAAACGCAAAATAAAACTGTGGGTTAAAAGGACACTTCACAAAAGGGAGGAGCTAGAGCATGAAGCATAGAGAAAAGTTATTTGTTTTCGTCTAGTTTTATGATTAAGAAATTTGAATGTAGATATTCCAAGTGTAGAAAAATAAAACAATATTATCAGGAATTCTGCTATCCAGCACAATAATGCTGTTATTTGTGGCTATTTTTCCTAGTCTTGGTCTCAATCCCTGCATATTTTAACATACTTTTCCAGATACATGAAGTTTTGTATCCTGTGTTCTCTTTTAACAGCTATCGCTATTTATTCATCTTTCCACGCCTTAGGGCAAGATTTTTGAAAAATATAAGCCCAAGCCAGCTTGGTGCCTGTCTCACCAGTCATTAACCCTGGGGCATTATGAATTGACCTTCAGGATTAGAATATTTCCTTATAGTTCATCTTTTTTTTTTACCCAATTGTGGTAAAATACACATAGCATAAAATTTACCATCTTACCCATTTCTAAGTGTGCAGTTCAGTAGGGTTAAGTATATTCACATTGTTGTGCAGCCAATCTCCAGAACTTTATGTAGTTCATCTGAAATGAAGTCTTGGAGCTGACCCCAGGATGGACACCTAGTTCGTGACCTTTAGATGAGGTGGATAGAATTTAGGGCCGGAGGCTGAGAGAGAAAGAGCACAAACAGAGACCTTTGCAGTAGCTGTCGTTACCTCTGCAGTATCTCCCATTTTACAGATGATGAAACTGAGGCACAGATTATCATGCTATTTATCATGCTATTTTTTTTGGTAAATGTTATTAAAATATGACATACATCCAGAAATGTGCACAGATACTGTACAGTGCAGTGGATTTTTGCCAGCTAAACATACCTGTGTACCAGCATGTAAGTCAAGAAACAATAAAATGACCAGCCCTCCCCCCACTCCCGCGCCCCCAGCCCCACAGGTAACTGCTGTCGTGACATCTGTTAGCATCGAATAGCCTGGCCTGTTTCCAAGCTTCACACACAGTGCAGTTATTCATGTAAGATCTTGTCTGGGTCTTTTGCATATGTGATGTTTGTGTGACTTTACAAGTAACTTGCTGGAGACCTCGGAGCCAGTGAGGGGCAGACTCGGGTCTGCCCCGTCTTCTCTACCATGCTGCCTTTCAGGGGGCATGAGAGTGCGAGTTTGCTTGGGGTGTGGGGGAATCCCGAAAAACAAAGTTGGGTAGAAATGGCCAGGTCGGGGGATCGGTGAACGTCCAGTGGAGGAATTAGCCATCGTGTTCCAGGAGCCGCCCCTGTGTAGCAGTGAAGTGACCTGTGGTGTTCTGACAGCAAGACATTGGGGTGTGAGACATTCCTGGGTGGAGTATAGGGCAAAGGTCAGCCAAAGGCATGAGCGAGGATGCGCAGAAGGAGGAGCAAAGCCCTGGGCTTAGAGTCTTGGGCAGGCGGGAGCGTAGGGCGAGTGTGGGAGTCGGGGTGAGTCAGGGGAAGAGACCAGGTGTTCTGGATAGAACAATAGCAGTAATAGCTGATATTTGCCAGGGGCTTGCCCCGTGCTGTACACTGCACCAAGCGCATCACACGTCTCATTGCCTCCCTGACACAACCCGATGAGGTAGGTGCTACTATTGTACCCATTTTTAGATGGGAGAACTGAGGCTTGGCCGGTGAAATTACTTGCCCTAGACTCAGTATCTAGGAGGAGGAGAGGTGGGATGGG